AGTCGTTTCAGTGAGTTGATGTCAGTGTTTTTGTGAAAATGGAGAAAATCGAGTATCGAGCTGTCATTAAATATCTGGTTTTGAAAGGCAATAGTCTACATAAATTAAACATGAGTTGGATTCTGTGTATGGGGACTCTGCACCATCATTTACCACAGTGAAATTTTGGGCAGCTGAATTTAAACGTGGCCGTAAGAGCTTGGGAGACGATGAACGTCCGGGACGTCCAAAAACTGCAATTACCGACGATAACATCGCCAAAGTTCACCAAATGGTGCTAGACGACCGCCGAATTAAAGTGAGAGAGATAGCAGAGGTTATGAACATATTAAAAGAACGTGTTTGTCCCACATTAAATCAAGATTTAGGCATGAGAAAGCTGTCCGCGCCTTGGGTGCCGCGTTTGCTCACGTTAGACCAAAAGCGTGTTCGTATGAACATTTCCAACGCTATGTTAGCGCAGTTTAGGCGCAATAAATCCGAGTTTTGGCGTCGATTAATTACTGTAGATGAAACTTCGATACACCAGAAACAAAAATACAGTCCAAACAGTGGACGACAAAGGGAGAACCGGCTCCAAAAAAAGCAAAAACTGTTATTTCGGCTGGGAAAGTGATGGCGACTGTTTTTTGGGATAGTCATGGAGTTATTTTAATTGTTTATCTTCAAAAAGGAAAAACCATCACAGGAGCATACTACGCATCATTACTTGACAAGCTAAAAGTAGAACTTACGGAAAACGGCCTCATTTACAGAAGTTGCCATGGCGAAAATCCACGAATTACGGTTTGAACTGCTTGACCATCCCGCCTTACTCACCAGATCTAGCCCCTAGCGACTTCTTTTTGTTCCCTCATTTAAAAGTTGCGCTCGGAGGACAGAGATTTTCGTCAAATGAAGAGGCAATCTCCTTCGTGAACCACTATTTTGCAGAGAAAAACGCCGAGTACTATTTGGACGGGTTATAGAAATGGGAGCATCGCTGGGAAAAGTGTGTAGAGTTACAAGGGGACTATGTCGAAAAATAAAATAAAATATTCAGAAAAAATGTCTTGTATCTTAGTTAGGTCGGAAACTTTTCACACCACCCTCGTATATATACTGTAAACATAGCAAAACATAGACACCCAAAATCTTATTCAAATCGGAATAACGGTTCTTAAAATATCTGGAAAAGTGTGTTAATTTTTTGAAACTTTGATGCCCTCTAACAGACAAACGAAGCACTTTTGTATAGAGGTAAATTGTATAGAATGAACTTATTTTGATTTCAAAAATACGTAGTGGTTCTATGTCCACGGAATACTGAGACACCCTGTATATCAATCAGTACAGCATGCGTGTATACGTATATAGTATATATATTTCTATGTCTTTTATTATACTGAATTGTTATTAAGTATAAAGTATTTTTATGAAAGACGCAAGAGGGTAAAAACAAATAGGCATTCATTACTAAAACAACCTTATTCAGAACCGTCGCCGTTTCATTCCAAACACAAAAACTGCAAAGTCCAAATCGCAAAAGTTTCCCCTTTTCGCGAAATCATAACACTAATTAAAATGCGAGCCCGTAACCAACTTGAATAAACAAATAGTAAGTACCAAACAACAAACACATTTCAATTAACTGCTGAGCATACTTTCCTTTCCATTCATATATTATTTTAAAGTTCAAATAAAATGGCTACACATACGCACACACAAACTGTTCGCCTCGTAATAACATTTTCGGCTGCATTCGCGCTGTAAAACCAAATTACGAGGATGAAAGCTCATTAATGTACTAAATTATTATCGCAGGATATTACGTTTTAATTTTAATGCAGTTTAATCATGGCCATGTTTGTTCAACTTCGCGTTGTTCCGCTGTTTCTGCTTTTTTCTCTATTTGTTACGTTTTTGTTTTCGAACTGGCGCAATTTGTCGATTTTTTACGGAAAAAAAACGGAATGAACATCGTTAATATGAATTGATATGTTGTTTGGAGTCTAAGTTTGTTTTAAATTTGCTTTGAACGAACAATTATACGTACTTGGAATACTTACAAAGCCTTATCTTACGCTGGGAATAAGATGCTTGAAAATACAGCGTAAATCGAAAACGCCTATTGAAAGAAACTTTTTGTTATATAAGCTATACAAAGTGAGTCTTAATTAAGTGCAAATACACACATGGCCAAAATGATTGCATATATCGTAAAAATATACGGAAAGGAATTTAAAGAATCTTTTTTTATACATAGCTTTGATAATCTGTAATAAACATTTTTTTGTTAAAATGGATATGGTAAACAATGCTTATCGTTCAGACCCAATATTATTACAAATTCTTGCACATTTCGATTTGTGGTCTCTTGGATTTCAGAAGAAATTTAACCATTGTTTTGGCCTTAAAATGCCTAGAAACATTATTTTACAGTTTAATAGAGTCAGAATAGTAACACTGTCTCAACAGGCCTACTGGTAAGTTGCAATAGCTGAAATTGTAGGAGTTAACTAAAGCGATGTTTCGCGAATATTAAAAAAAATCATTCAGGGAGACAAACGAGGTTACAGACCGGCCTGGAAGAGGTAGAAAGAGATAGAAAACTACTGCTGTGCAAGACCGTCAAATATCAATAATTGCACGACGCAATCCCTGCTTTCTAGTACTGCTATTAAAAATGAGTTAGCTCGCCTTGAAGGAGTAAATATTTCAAGAAAGACCATAGCAAGAAGGCTCCATGACAGAGGATTACATTTAAGGAGGCCTCTACGTGTTCCAAAGCTTAATTTACAGCACAAAATTACGCGACTACAATGAGCTGAGGAGATGAGAGCAAATGGACCTAATTGGAATTTCGTCATGTTTAATGATGAAACAAAAATAGGCCTAGTGTCAGACTCGCGACGAACTTTGGTCTGGAGACCATCTAGAAAACGAGCAAGCTTGAATGTAGCTCAACCTCGTGTCCCGTTTAAAGGGGAAAGTATTATGGTATGGGCAGGTATAATGCACGGAGCTCGAACTCCTCTTGTTTCTATTGATGGCACAATGACAAGTGCCTCATATCTTAGAGACGTTTTAGAGCCTATTGTACGTCCATTTCGAGGGGCAGAGGGGGATGAATTTGTTTACATTGACGACATGGATGGATGGATCCTCCCCATCGCACTTTAGCGGTTCGCGAATTTTGTGAGGAAGAGGGTATAAGAAAACTATGGTGGCCACCGATGTCTCCAGATATGAATGTGATCGAGCATGCTTGAGATATGCTAAAACGCCATATTGCCAAAAGGAATGATCCCCCCCCCGTACCTTAAATGAATTGAAAATTGCTGCGCGCGAAACATGGGAAGCCATTCCTCAACATCTTCTGGACAACTTAATTGAGAGCATGCCACGTCGTCTCACAGCTCACATTGAGGCTCGAGGAGGCAATACAGACTAATAGTTGTGAGAAATAATTAGAATTGTTTTCGATATTTTCAGTTTAAAATGAAATTTGTTTTTGTTGATTTTCACTCATAAGATTAAATAACAGTATATTTAATAAAATTATAATAACAGCCTAGTTGCACTTAGATTTTTAATTTTATATTGGTTAGTCGTGTAGTAAGCCAATATGTCCAAAAATATTAAAAAAATCATATTAGGTCCAAAATAAAACAAAAATATATATATATGCAGTAATTTTGGCAATGTGTGTATATTTAGGGGTGGTATATTTCGATCCCATAAACACGTCTGAATGAAGTTTTTAGTTAAAAAACATAATACATATAAGGGGATGTAAAAAGTAACTGCAATTAACATTTTGCCAACACAATAAAGTCTTTAATTTTGAAGTTACATACACAGGGTGTTTCAAAAACAGGTGCCATCTGTCGTAGGGCATAAAAAGAAGAGTTATTTTTCATATCAATATAGGTCCGATTCTGCTTTGTTTCGTAGCTACAGGGTGTTAAAGTCTTAATAATTTTTCTATTTATTGTAATTTTTTTCTAAGTACCTACTTTTATTGATTCGAATGAAATTTTGAGGGTAAAAGTTACCATAAGTTTTAAACTTATAAGTTTTAGTGCTAAAAAAGTGTCGATAAATTCATCAGGGACGTGCATATGGGTTATCACTGGAATATTTTTCAAAAAAAACATGTGCGCCACTGACTTTGTCTCTTTTGATATCAAAATTGTATAGAACGTTAAATGCCAATTAAAAGTTATCTCTTGATATGTTGTCCATTTCGATCTCCTTGGTGAGACAAACGCAATTTTATTAATCACATTTAATAAAATTAAAATAAAAATAAAATTAATAAATTTATATTTTATATTTACTATTACTACTAGTTATGATTACTATTAGTCCAACCTACAACAATTCCAAATAAAAAAATTATGGTATTTAAAATAAAAAAAGTTTATTGGCTCCCTTACAACAACATAACCAGTCTTCACTTTTTGCTAAATAAATGACGAATACACGACTTTAATTTAGTATTAATAATCAAAATATGCTTTGGAAGTCCTTCTTCAATAGATTTTAATTTTTCTGGATGCACCATAGAACTGAAGGATGATTGCAAAATTATTTCTATTTACAGCCGTCATCGCGAGGCGCGACGATATTTTTTATTTTATACCGCGAACTAGATGTGTTTAAAAAACCGCATCATCCATCTAATTAAAACAGCGAAAGGGAGACGTAATCGCAGCCGGAAAGTTCGCTGACCTTGGCTCGCGTTCGGCAGCATTCAATATGTAACGCGAGGGCAATCGCATCTACACCTTGTAGTGATATTTTTATTTTTAGCATTCTCGACCAATACACATATTAAATAAATGAAATTGAATTTAATTATTTTAATAAATTTACTGAGAATTTTATTTCATTATAAGAGATCTCAGTGAGTTAATCGTAATAAAAACATATTACGATATTTTGAAGGGATGCGACGCATCACCCGCATCAATGGAAGATTCGCCGCCTGCATGTAACATAATATATAATCATACCTCTCTTCTGAAGATCGTCTCTGGTGATTTGCGTGGCCAGGGAGGGCGTTGGAGGCAGGCCAAGATGGGGCGCGGCGGGTCCCCCAGGATACCAGGCCCAGCCGGGAGCCTGTCCGTTGAACATCCGCAATTTGTCGTAAACGGACTCGTTTTGGGCGCTCGCCTGCTGCTCCTTTTGGCTGGCTAGGTTGCGCAGCACCCGGTTGATCGAAGAAACCTGAAAAAGAATAATATACATCAAGTAGGTTTTGGCAATAAAAATCGTTCGCGAGCAAAGTTTTAATGTTTTTTTTTGGAATTTTATAAATGATTTTCAAAGGAAGTATTATTACATAAGAGGATCTAAAGTCCATTTGCTCAAATGTCGCTGACAACTCCTCCGTATAATAGATAATTAGAAAAATAAATAATAATATATCGATTACTAAGTAAATCTAAACAGTGCACTTGAGAATAATAGTTATTTTTTATACAAGACGATAAAATGGTATTTTATCGCCGACCGAAAAGATTAATTAATTAATTTCGGGAGGCGATAATGCAAATTTATCGTCGTGTATAAAACAATATTTTTTTTTCCATAGTGAGTTACGTTTTACAAAATATTCAGAAATTATTATTTCAAATTTATTAGGAGTAGAAAAAATATTGTGCTGGGTTGGCGTTGGTTTCTATGTAATTTGACAAATAAATAAAGCTGTCCTTTTAGTTGTCAGTTTTGAGTCAATATTTTTTAATTCCCTTTCGTGTCGATTGCTGAGTGAATTGGAGCCAGAAATGGCTCAAAACGAAAGAAGTAAATTACCAACAGATATTCAGGCTGAGGTGACAAACGCCATATCCATACTACTTCCACTTAAATCCTGAATAACTTATGAAAAGGAATACAAAAATTTTCAAAAATGGAAGCAATTAAAAAACGTGCGAGAAGAAATAAAGTTCTTAATCTATCCTCGCTGTTAAAGTATCATTTAATCTACACTTGCGGTTAAAGTACTATTTTATCTACTATTTTTGATAAATGTAAGGCAATTTTAACAATTGCTATGGAAAAAAGTATTTTAATTAGTGGAACAAGTTGCTGTGCAATTGCACAGTCATTTTGATTACTATACTATAGAAATAAAGATGTCTAATTTTATTTTGGTTACTATAAATGCTAGTAGGTAATTGATTAGAGAACAATTTAACAATGAATTGATTTGTTTGAAAATGTTTCATTGTTGAAGCTTCCGTATTTATCATTAATATCTCAATGCGAATCCAAATAGGATTGAACTTATTCAAACGAATGCAAACAAAGTCTTTTGACACACAGTCTAGATATGCACAGAATCATTTGACCTAGATTAACCCTAGAATACTAACCATTCGTATTTTGCCATATTTTCTTAACATACAAAATATCATGTTAAACATTCTTTTATATTAAAAACATTCATTTGTAACTTATATGTTGAAGTTCAGGAAACGATATAATGGCAAAGAAGTCAATAATTATTTCTCAGTATTGCAAGTCACACAGAATTGCTCACTTTTAATCGCTCAATTCCATGAGAGCTGCCGCCATTATTTTATGACATTTGAACAATTTAATTTTTGAAATAGATAGATGTCATAGTGGCTTTGGTAATCACTAAGTTTGACTTTTAGGATATACAATTTTTTTTGACAGGTAATTTTTTTCATCCAAAAATTTTAAATATTTTTTTTCCTCAAAAACGGTTAATGGTAGGTATAGAGTGTTAACATCAGTATTCATAAAATTTTACAGACAATTCAAGTATGTAATAAAAAATGGGGGCACCCATTTAAAATATGAAGGTTGCTGTCAACATCCGGTATTTCCGGAAGTGCTGCCATATTGAAAATATTTTTAATCGATAGATCTCGTTCTAAAACAATGATGTACTAAAAATCTCCGATCTAGATATTATGGTTCCCTAGAAACTTCTAATGCACGCTCAGCCTGGGACACCCTGTATATTATATGTGTTTTAGTGTAGGAGGTTTCTGTTTCAGTTAGTAAAAATTAAAGTAAATTCAGTTACTAATTTGTCTGCAGAAAAATTTCTAAAATATAACTAATCAGAAATTTAAATGAGCGTTCTAATGTTGGGACACCTCTTCTGAGCCGGTATACAGCCAACCATCTGATGACTGCCTTTCGTCATCGCTATCAATTGGGAACGGTACCATGCAGTTACCAGTGGCACTGTTTCTAATTCTGTTTGTGTTAGGGATCTTGTATGTTTCCACCTCTTTGACATTTTTCGATAAACTGGTCTTTAGAATAAAGAGCAGGCTCGAGAATGTCCCAAAAAATATAAACGTGTATAATAACCTATGGAAAAAATACGATGCAATTTTTCAAAGATGCGATTTTTTAAGTAATTAAGGTAATAAGTCATTACCGTTTCTCTGAAATTTAAAAAAAAACACTTTATTTATATTTTTCACCCCTTCTCGCGGTGAATTTAAAATATTCTTAATTGAAATTTATAATTTTCCAAACAAATTAAATAAAAATGTTAAATAAATATATTTTTCAACATTTTTTTTTAAATTTCTACTATCATCCCCTAGCTTCTATCCACCTTATCTCGGTTAATTTTGATCGGAGCGAAAAAAGTATAGAGATCATTTCAATGTAAAATTTTACGCTATTTTTTTTAATTACATTTTTTTATTTTTTTTTCTAGTGCTTACCGTTTCTCGGAAATTTCGAAAAAATTAATTTCATTTATTGATTTCACCCCTTTCGTTTCTCGGGAGTCTTCTTCTTCTTCTTCTTCTACTTCTAGCAATAGGGCTGTCCCTGTATAAAACAAGTATTTAAGCCTCTTGTGAACCGGATGTCCAACTTTCGTACTATCTTTTTGGTGCCTGCCAGGTGGTCTGGGTGTGTTGGAATTTGTGTTCGCGCCCACTTTGCTATTCTCTCGTGGTCCATTTTTTCAACATGGTATTCCCAATGACACCTTCTTGATCTTCCCCACCTCACTATGTCTTGCACTACCTGTTCCTCTCTGATGTCGTGGTTTCGTATTCTATCTCTTAGAGCGACTCCGCGTATTTTTATTAAACTTTCATTTCTGTTGTTCTAAGTATTGTCTTTGTTTTTGATGTTACGGCAGAAGTCTCTCTAGCATAGGTAAGAACTGGCCTAACACAAGTTTTGTATATATGCGAACTTTACTTTCTCTTGACACGTCCCTTCTCGGGAGTGATTTAAAAAAAATCTTTCACAATTCGATTTTAGATCTTTCAAGGTAACTTATATCAAAAATTTAGAGGCCTATTTTCTTGTACTAATATGAATGAAACCAAAGCGATGAAACCAACCTCCTAACCATAGTTGAAAAAATACAGTCTTTAGTTAATATTCAATAATTTAAGGTACGCGGACGATACAGTTCTCATAGCAGATAGTGCTGAGGGATTGCAGAAATTAATAGACCGAGTAGTAGAGGCATGTGATATGTATGGTATGAGGCTTAACTGCAAGAAGACCAAAGTTCTAGTAGCTAGTAAAAATTATGAGGCGCAGTACCACCAGTTTAGGGCGAATAACGAAACCTTGGAAACAGCAGATACAATCACGTATTTGGGCTGCAGCTTGAACAAGAAATGGGATCACTCACGAGAGATCAGATGCCGCATAGAAAAAGCCAGAACCGTTTTTAACCGTCTTAGAAAAATCCTATGCAATATGCACCTGAATATCGCTATGAGAACACAGGTCCTAAGGTGCTACGTATTCTCCACGCTCCTATATGGAGTGGAAGCTTGGACCTTGACAGATGCTACATCTAAACGCTTGGAAGCCTTTGAAATGTGGTGCTATCGCCGCATGCTTAGGATCTCATACACTTACCATGTCACAAACAACACCGTGATCCAGAGAATGCAAAAGGAACTAGAAATAGTACATAGTGTGAAAGTGAGAAAAATGGCATACCTTGGGCATGTGATGCGTAATGATAAATACCAACTTATCCAACTGATACTGCAGGGCAAAATAGATAGTAAAAGAGGTCAGGGACGCCGACGAACATCATGGCTGAAAAATATTAGACAGTGGACGGGAATGACGGCCGTACATCTATTCAGGGCGGCTGTCAATAGGATTATGTGGACCAACATGATTGCCAACATCCATAGAGGATAGGCACTGAAAGAAGAAGAAGTTAATATTCGGTGTCCTAACCTTAATTTCCTTGTCGTTTATTTTGATAATATGTTGACCAAAAATATGGTTTTTGTCATATCTTTTTTACTCAAATATCAAAAAAGGACTTACATTAGCCCTAGCAGCAAAAAGGAGACGTTAACTCAACTTTAAAAATTGTAATTAAAGAAAAATTAAATTTATTTCTTTAGCCAAAAAATATCGTAGGTTCCTGAACGGCAAAACCGCCCGTGCACCACACAATACGCGATTATGTGGCAGAAAAACGGGCGCTCGATGGCGAATAAATTAAATAGTTTTGGAAAAAGTTGTGGGAATATCCAGAACGCGGACAATAGGGCGGCCAGATGCAATCCGTTGGGCCGTGCTCGACGTAACTGGCTTATCCCTATCCCATCCCTATGGATGTTATTACCGCTCCATTCTTCGTGCCCGACCGACCGTAAGTAAAACACCTCGTCACCGAATACGTCACTAACACGCACGCCGCTACAAAATATTCCCTCCTGCGCCCTTTTCAATCTAGCGCAAAATAATTTAAATTAGAATGATTCATTTTGCGTTTAAACATCAACGGTTCGTCGATGATGAGGCGGGGCGGGATTGGATTTGAACTAATTGCATTTACATTGTAACGTTTTTAAATCCGTTACTTATTTTTGAAGTGAAACGCGCGATGGGAGTAAAAATTCAAGACAGCGACACACGGCTTTGAATGGCTCATGTAACTAATCTGAAACCATTGGATAACTAATCATTGGATTCCAAGTAACTAATCTGAAAATAACATAAATAACAAACATATCATTTGTCCTTTGTGTGCTAACGAAAAGATTTTCTATTCGCATCATGAGGATTCATGAGCAAGTATTACATCATTTAAAAACTGTTGGGAAGTTGATTATTTGGCATGGAAAAGTATGCCAATGGAGATTAATTGTAATAGAAGTAATTCTAAAGCTTCATTTAGAACCTCGAAATCAGTGAAATAAATTAGTATTAGTTTCAATTAGTCGTAGAAGTTT